AGCTCCTGAATCTGGACGTGTTTTGAGCAGAGATGCAGAAAAGCTGTTCAATCTCGAATTTCTGCACTTATCCAGGAACACGTCTAGATTCAGGCGTTCAATCCAATCCATGTTGCTAGTGGGACCTCGGCCCTGGAGCAAGGTCCCAGTAACGCCGAGGGTTCCGTTACGTTCCCGGCCTCGATTCAAGTGTTGATTGATAATGAATTCGAATATTGATTAAAAGAAAATAAACAAATCGTAATGACCCTGTCATGCCGCTGCCGCACAATGTCACACTGGATCAGCCACACTCCTATCCCACTGCTCATGGGACCGTGCTCCTGCAAGCATAGCTACCTCTCACAATTAAGGGGGGACCACTTCAACAGCACCTGCTCTTTCGTCATTCAAAAAAAAAAAAAATCTCTCGACGAGAGTAGTCCACGTGTCTATTTCTGGGGTACTTTTAGCAAAAGAAAACACACGTGATCACGAGCATTACTCGACGAGGGGGGAGGGGAAACACGTGTCCAGCAGTTCGTTTGAATAGAGAGTAAACACGTTCTGCATTCTTCGGCGGATGAGAGCATAACGTGGCACTAAAATAAATGGGACGTTGAAATCAAAGTCCCGCAATTAAACCCTTGAAAAAATAAAAAAAATAAAAAAATATAAAGACGGCTCGACACGTGGCAGCAAGCGTACCACGGTTCGACACTTAGTAGCACCAGGTCCACGGTTCGAACCTCAAGAAAAAGCCAACCACCGTTTGAAACTCAGCAAAAAATTTACCACGGTTCGACAGTCAGTTGAACACGTAGTAGCAAAGCCTACCCAAGTACCTCTCAGTTGGACACGTAGCAGCAGGTCCACGGTTCGACACGTGGCAGCGAGTCCAGATCGCGACCTCGCCACCAAGTCGCCGGTTCACTCCCCTCGTCAATCTCAAGATATCCTCTCTCTCTCCCTCTCTCTCTCTCTCTCTCACAGGTCTACGGTTCGACACGTGGCAGCGAGTCCAGATCGCGACCTC